AGGGGAATTACATCACCCTGCCCCTTACTGGGTACGCCCTTGATTACTACACGGCCTGCTTTACCGAATAATTTATTTCATTACGCTGCGGAAGAAACCACAAAGGTAGTCAAACTATTCAGAAGGAAAAGAGATATTTATGAAGATATCGGAAAAAGCTTTGTTATATTGTCATGTAGTAAATCCTAATCAAATTTTCATCTATTTGAATTCGAACATGATTATTCTCAATAAAAAACTGAAGTTTCCTATTACAACTAGTATTTTGATAACCTGTATGAACTGAGATTGAACGGAAAATACATGGATTCTGAAACGGCAGAAAGCAGAGTAGAAAAAGATCCTTATTTACGAATAACGAATACTACTGCGAGTGTTTCTTTCCCTAAAGCCGATTGATTTCGATCTAGCCATGTTGACGCAACGACACCTACATACCGATTTCGAACTCCTTGACTCTCATCAGTGTAGGGTAGTCTCCAGCTAGCAGTAGGAACAAATTCCAATCGGCAATATTTATGGTCTCAGAGGATTCTCCCGTGGGCACAGGTGTGCCAGACGGGTTTAACGCCATCTAGACTACATAAAAGGATAGAAACACTCCAAACTGAAATACCCAAAAATGGGAGTGGCTGATTGCCCGACTGGCGTAATTTCAACTACATTAGGGAAAGAAACACGTGCATTAGTATTCGTTCATACATATCGATGCATAGATTTCGGGAGGATGTAATTCAATGTTCTGCTTGGCAATAGCCAGGAAAGTAGTTGTTTTTCTCTCGTCATCTACCATTGTTGGTCATTTCATGAACTTTGAGCTTTTTTGTACTTATTCAACCTTTCATTCCACTTTGAGCATTGAGGCTATTTCGTAGTTGATGATAACTTATATTATTCAGAGATCTCAAATTTTATAAATGAAGAGAAGGACATAAACATTTATACATTACCAAACGATTATGCTCTAGTTTGTTCGAGAGTTTGCTTCATCTCATCCGATTTAAAACAAAACAGTACCATTGACGAAACGTTATTTTATAAACTTTTACAAATTGATAATAACACGGATGAAATATTATAGAACCGGGCGGATTGATAGTAAGAGAAGATGGTAACAGAAAAAACAACTGTTTGATTTCAAAAATAAATTTTCAGAAAACTGTTCGATTGGAGCACAAGTCTTGTCTGATAGAACTTCGAAAAAATATGTTGGGGAATATATTAAGAAAATGAGATACATCAAACAATTGAAGCCTAAAAAATGAACACAAAAATTCAACCTGAAACAGAGTATAAAGTGTCACTGGTAGAAGACTGTTATCTTGAGCCATTGAAAGTAAATAAAATAAAAGTTCACGTACAAGGACGAACAGCGAATAATTTGCAGCCAATGAATTTTCAAGAAAATGAGGAATTTTTAGTTCCACGTGGATTTATATGTTCAGTCCCTGATAATAACTCCGAAGTATCTTTAATCAACAAAGGACACACAACTATGAAAGTCTATAAGAATACTACTCTGGGTTTTATGAGAAACAATACCACGGACAATTCTACTGTATTGTACATGGAACAAGGACGATCATGACTTATCTCGTATAACTGACAGATATTTCAAAGCTGAGATAATCAAAATATTGGATGAATTCAAAGACGTTTTTTCAAAATCCACTAGACAAATGGGCCCCACTAATTTAGTTGAACACAAAATCGATACGGGTGACGCGCAACCAATTAAGAGCTACCCATACAGGGTGTCCCAAAGAGAGAAGGATATAATCGATCAGCAAATAAGAGATGTTCGAAAATAAAGTCATTAGATCAAGTCATTCACCATGGGCAAGTCCAGTCGTACTCGTTAAAAAGAGAGATGGACAAACACGTTTTTGTGTAGACTACCGTAAGCTTAACAGTGTCACGAAAATATCAATGTATCCTTTACCGAACATCGACGATAGTCTAAAATATTTACATGGTGCTAAATATTTCACTACGCTCGATATGTTCAGCGGTTTTTGGTTTGTAGGATTTACAACATGACAATGACTCTTGTCTCGGTTCTTTCGATCTTATGATTGTTGATGTTGACGTATACTGCGATAAATTAATACGTAGACATGAATTCAAGTCAACACTTCAAAATTCTAGGACTATTCAAGTGGATAAAAAAACCCTAGAAGAATCCCAATCCCGTTCAATCCCAAGTATACGAAGGGACTTGATAAGGTTCTCAAAGACTTAGGTTTTGAAAGCGTTCATCAGTCTGGTTCAAAATTAGACTATTTATTAGGCAATCCGAAGGATAAGTGGACACACTTGAAAAGTCGGGAATATACGAAATAAGTTGTAATGATCGTGATAAAACATAGGCCAAACCAGGCGACCCATAAAAACAAGGTTCAAAGAACACATAGCACATTTGAAATATGGCAGGTTAGATAAATCGTGTGTAGTCGAACATATGTTCAATTACAATCATGCCGCCAGACATTCCACCCGTCGAGAGTCGAATGCCCGAAATCGTCTTCCGTCAACGCACTATCAGACGAATTTTGCTTGGTCTCAAAACGAATAAGGCTAACGGTCCTGATGGAATTCCACCCATTATCCTCAAAAAATGTGCACCAGAATTAACACCGATTCTCTGCAAGTTGTTTACCATCTCGTACAGGTCGGGTATTTTTCCATCATGCTGGAAGACAGCTAGAGTCCAACCAATCCCCAAAAAAGGGAACAAGAACCTGCCCAACAACTACAGGCCCATTGCCCTGTTATCAGTAATCTCCAAAGTGATGGAGAAAGCCATCAATATTGAGCTTATCAAATATCTGGAGAGCTCTGGAATCATCAATGATAGACAATACGGCTTTCGCCACCGAAGATCTACTGGAGATCTACTTGCCTACGTCACCCATTTATGGCAATCTTCAATAGAAAAACACGGGGAATCTCTAGCTGTCGCATTGGACATATCGAAGGCATTCGACCGAGTTTGGCACGAAGGACTCCTCCACAAACTACCAGCATACGGCTTACCACCTCAGCTATGCCATCTCTTATCGAGTTTTCTTTCAGGCAGATCGCTTCACGTGGTGGTGGACGGTGTATCGTCTGATACCATTGGCATCAATTCCGGCGTTCCACAAGGATCAATTTTGGCACCAACATTATTCCTGCTTCATATCAATGATCTGTTGGGAGTAACAACTTGCCCCATCCACAGCTTTGCAGATGATAGTACCCTCCATACTGCGTTCTCTTCCAGAATTCCCATTTCTTCCCAGGAAACTAAGAACTCACGGCGCAGGCAGGTCAATGCTGTCAATGAAGATCTTGCTGAAATCACAGCCTGTCGAACGAACAACCTAGTTGAATTCAACGCCACCAAAACTCAAGCCTGCATTTTCTCTAGAAAGGCGGAACTCAGTATGCCCGATATTGTGATGTCTGGCTCCACCATCCCCACCAAGCCCACCATATCTATGCTCGGTATTTCCATCAGCAACACCCTTTCATGGGATAATCATGTCAGATCCATCGCAAAAGCTGCTTCACAAAAACTCGGATTCTTGTTCCGTGCGAAAAGCTACTTTACACCTCAACAGCTTCTCATGATCTACAAAGCGCAGATACGACCTGTTTTAGAATACTGTTCCCACATATGGGGTTCAGCACCAAAACATACGCTGATGCTCTTAGATTCCGTCCAGAGAAGAGCCATTCGCCTGGTGGGTGACGCCACACTCACTCACTCTTTGACATCATTGGAACACCGTAGAAAGGTCGGCGACCTTTCACTTTTCTATCGATACTTCCACGGGAAATGTTCTTCGGAAATCTCTGCAATCATCCCTTCACTAGCAATACCAATCAGACGAACTAGACAAGCCCAGTCAGCACATCCTTTCGTCGTCAACCTCGAAAGATGTCGAACAGCACTTTATCAAGACTCCTTCATCCATAGAACGGCTAGGCTCTGGAATTCATTGCCTGTGGAAGTATTCCCAACAACATATAATCTCCAAAAATTCAAAAAAAATTCCAATACCTACCTCCTGTCCCTATCATCCCTAGGAACGCACGATGTTCTTTGAACATTATAGGGATTCCCTTTCGTGCGCTCCAATCGATAAAAAAAAAAAAAAAAAATCATAACACACATATAACAAACCTCAAAATAGTTAAGCAAGTTAATAATCTTCTGTAGTAGTCCATGCTCAAAGTGGAGTGGAATGATCAATAGAAAAAAAACCCAAAGTCGTCTCCACAATTTTTAATGTATAATCAGGCAGTCAATCCTGCTTCATTGAGGTTGATACATGTTTCGGCCATTCAAATGGCCATCTTCAGTCAAAAGAATATAACAAAGTGCATGTGGAAATACCTCAATGCATCGTGAAGACGAAAAAATTTTTTATTGCTTAATCATCATTTATTATTTGTATTTCACGATGCATTGAAGTATTTCCACATGCACTTTGTTATATTCTTTTGACTGAAGATGGCCATTTGAATGGCCGAAACATGTATCAACCTTAATGAAGCAGGATTGACTGCCTGATTATACATTAAAAATTGTGGAGACGACTTTGGGTTTTTTCTCTATTCAAGTTAATAATATCAGAAAATTAGACGCATATGAAAGCTTAGAGATATTTAAGAATAGTAATAGAGTAATGAATAAGGATAATGGACCTATTCCATATAGCCCTCTATATAGTTTAGTAATATAAAAATTAAGATTAACATGTGTACTCAACCATGACAAACATTAACTTGACAGTTAGTATTTTTCACGGTTGGGTGAACATTTACCTAGTATATCAGCACCACGCTAGAATAGGATATTTAGTTTTAATCTTCTCCTGAAGATGCTAACATAGTTATAGTTACCGAAACACGTGTCTAGGCGTTTAAAAAATCGGTTTGGTTAGTGGTAGAACAGTGTAGTGTATTATCGTGCCAAAGGTTTCAGTCTTCGATATATGATCTATACTAACATGTGTCCTTGAGTGGCCCCGCCTGCTTCTCATCCTGCCCCTCCGTCGTCCCGCCCTCTTCGCCCCGCCCCCCTGCCTCCTCGTCGTACATGTCGAAGGGCGGCCGCGCCGCGTCGAAAGGCTGTCTCGCTGCTTCGCGGGCGGCCTCGGTCGGCCGGGACGGGGCGGCCGTCGTGGTAGACGGAGAGGCGGGGGCGGGCCGCGCGCCACCCGTAGCAGGAGACGGCCGCGCGGGGGCGGGCGGAGCGGGCTGGGCGGTGCTCCAGGCGGGCGGCTGCGACGTGATCAGCCACGGCGGGCTGGGGCGGCTCGTGGTCGTCGTCGTCGTGGCTGGAAAGGCAGACGTAATGTAGCAAGTAGGTTTATTGATGAATAGGAAATCCTAATATTCACAGTTCAATTGTTTTTCCACCACTAGCTCTAGAGCCTACCAGTATTTACTCGTTTTCAAGGCTTACAGTGTGTTTTACTACTTAGGTAGTTTTCGTCATTTCATGAACCACTAGTCAATGAAGGCATAACCACCTCTGATATAAATGAATACAAAAAGCTCAAAGTCATTTCCACACAATGTTCATACAATGAACAACAATGGTAGATTTCGGGAGGAAAACAACTAATCTCCTGGCTAATGCCACGCAGAATATTCAATTACATTCTCCCGAAATCTATGCATCGTTTCATATAAACGAATACTGATACAAGTAATTCTTTCCTGAATGCCTATTGATTTCGATTTAGTCAGGCTGCGCTAGACAACCACAGAACGGTTTCGAGCTCTTTGACTCTCATCAGTGCAGTGTAGTCTCCAGCCAGCAGTCCTAAGACCGCCGACTTTATGAACATTGTGTGGAAATGACTTTGAGCTTTTTGTATTTATTTAACATTTCATTCCACTTTGAGCATTGTGACTAAATTACGCCAGTCGGGCAACCAGCCACTCCCGTATGGGAATTTCAGTTTTGGAATGATTCTTCCCTATGTTCTACTCAGATGGGGTTACTTTCATATTGTCGATGAAAGACGCCTCGGGGTAATATAATCCCGACTTGATTTTTGTTTGGCTAGGCTTCGCTGAGTCGGCGGTCTTAGGACTGCTGGCTGGAGACTACACTGCACTGATGAGAGTCAAAGAGCTCGAAACCGGTCTGTGGTTGTCTAGCGTAGCCTGGCTGAATCGAAATCAATAGGCATTCAGGAAAGAATCACTTGTATCAGTATTCGTTTATACGAGTCGATGCATAGATTTCGGGAGGATGTAATTCAATGTTCTGCGTGGTATTATCCAGGAAAGTAGTTGTTTTTCTCTTGAAATCTAAAACTGTTGTTAATTTTATGAACATTGTGTGGAAATGACTTTGAGCTCTTTGTATTTATTTAACATTTCATTCCACTTTGAGCATTGTGGCTATTTCGTAGTTCACCTCTGATATGATTAACCCGAATTCACTGTTCTTATGCGAGATTCGCAGAATGACACTCGAATCTACTAGGTATTTATCAATAACGACGTGTCATATCATGGTCATGGCTACTAGATTTCATTTAGAATTGAAAAGCAGTACTTTCATAGTGACAATAGCTTCATATTTAAGTTTCACAAAAATGAAATGATCGATATATATTGCCTCGTATATTGCTTGGTGATGAAAAAAAAAAAAATTTACACCTTGGTAGTAAAGAATAATATTATCACTAATTACCGAAAGAAATATGGGTTTCTTCAGAAAATAATAATCCCGTATTCAAATTTCTGTTTATTTTATGCAAAGTTGATGTATCGTCCATCATTCAGGAGCGAAATTTATTTAAATTAATTCTTTTCCAGTACTGCCAAAGTCATCCATGGAGATATCATCAAACAACTTCATTACGTATCTAACCAAGGTTTAGGAAAGTTAAATCGAAGTTAAAATTGAAAGAAATTAAAAAATATCAAGAATTAAAACTTGCAATAAAATAACGTCCAAATTAGAGTCAAATGTGTAAAATTGGAATAGAAACAACTTTTCTCTTCTTTATTGAAATTCGAACAAATAAGACTATTTTTGGCGATTAATTTGACTTTTCACATGTAGCGAAAGTCACGTGATTGTAAATAAAACTATAAAATAATTTATCAGTGAAATTGTTGAAAAAATCTCTATCGAATGGTATACAATTATATAGGGTATTCTATTTAAAATAAGGAAGTTGATCAAAATTCCGGAAAAACTGATAACGTGGCAACATTGGCGATATAATTTATCGAGCCGCCACATTTTCAATTCACCATGTATAAAAATTCAGAAAGATCTAACGACTGGTTACTGAGATATATGGATGGTTCAATACATTTGGTTAACTTTGTATAAATAAAATGACAGATATCTTACAAGGTTTTTCCTGAAAGCTACAAGAATATCACAGGCTTCAATTCCATTTGGGATAGCATTATATGAATTCAATCCTTTTACAAATAATGAGTTCATACCTTTTCTAGTATTGACTTTCTCTAGGTGAAAATTGTTAGCGCTTCTTGTATAGTGTAAGTTGAATTGTTAAAAAGGTACCTACAGCTTCAACTATACGAGATGGAAAAAAAAACTCCAAATATGACAGTTGTAGGGTTTCATCTGTACTATCTTTGGCACTCCTTGAACGAGTTAAAGTCAAATCAGTTTTTCTTAAAGTGTATTTTCAACTATCTATTTCTTCATTTTCTTCTGTCCACATATACAGGGTGTTCCTTAAAGACATGCTGATATTTAAGGGGGTGATTCTTTGACTCATTTTGAGATAAAAACTCCATATTAATGTATGTCTTAAAAGTCTTAACTTTTGAGATACAGGGCGATAAAGTTTTGAAAAAAAATCGTTTTTTTAATAATAACTGAGATAATATTGTAAACATCTTTACCAAATTTGGTACATGTCTTCTAGGCATCAAGGTGGATTTTCTGATGTGCACAAATTTTCATGTTCTCTACCATTGGCGCCGTTTGGAGGATATTATTGTTTATATTTCACTTAAAAGTGAGCAACGAAGGAACATTTTACAAATTCAATACGATCCTATGGAAGGCCATTCAATTCTGTACAAAGAAGATCCTCTTGTTGATACTCGATAGAACGCTCCGTTTTCGAGAAAAAACGGAAAAACGAGACCAGACTTCAAATTTTGATGTGAATGCTAAACTGAGTACTCCATTCAGGACATCAATTACTGGATAGCCACAGTATGTAACATTTTGAAATTTTTGCACCGTTTCAGTCACATGGCAGACTGAATTTTTTCATGACGAAAAGCTATACAGGGTGGACAAAAAATAATCTATGCATATTTTCAACTTTGACACCCTGAATCTCAAAAGTTAGGACGTTTACGACATACGTTTACTTGAATATTAGCATGTCAATAAGGAACACCCTGTATAGTTTGCTAATGTTTCCTCAAGCAATTTTTCACTCATTTAGTATTGAATCAAAGTAGCCAATAACAATTAGATGGCTGTGGGCACAAACGGAATGTCATGGAGAAAAAACGTGCATTTTTCGACATCTCTGTCGGGTTTCAATTATTAAAATGGGTTATTCCGTAGGGTAGAGGAAAAATACGAAAAGGTATATTTCAAAAACATACAATAGTTGAAAATATACAGTGTTTCATGAAAAAAAAAAACTAATTTGGGCTCTTTTTTTTATCCAGCGATTCGCATTTGTTGATTCGAGGAGTCCCAAAAAATAGGACAAAAAAAAACACTCCAACTTTCACATGAAGGGTACAGGGGGAAAACGGCATCAGTCCATTTTCATGCAAAATTGAGCTCACAGTTTATTTTCATGGAATGTTGGAGTACCTATCAGAAAATGAAATCGTTAAATGGTAAAAGTAGCTTAGTTCCGCAAAACAACCAATACAAAATCGCGGAAAAGTGGCATGTGTAGTTCTGAATAAATGTTGATTTTGTATATATTTCTGAATGAAAAACATGGTATTTACTGAAAAATGTCTATCAATTTTGGTTTGCAACAAGTAATTAAACTTATATTTTCCATTTTCTTGAAATTCGTCTAAATGGACTATTGTCGTTCTTCCCCTGTACCCTTCTTGAAATTTTTCTCCACCTCGTATAGTTGAAGCTGTAAGTAGGGGTCAAAACATAAGATATCCCACAACGATTAAGACGGGGAATATCTCGTGACCCGATGTTACCAATGAGCTTTTTGTTGTCGGTCACGTGACATCAGATTCAAAATCATAACTGAAACAACCTGTATATTTTGTCATTTCTATGAACCTCTCGATGAAACTCTTGCAACAATATTCTTGGTTCCAAAATGTTTCGACAAGTTTTTCAATTTAATATGAATGATCATTGTTTCAACCATCACAAATAATTAAGGAGTCCCCAAATATACAGGGTGACCCTGAACTTGAATAATTTGGCAATTGCTCGTTTCAGACGTTTTTGTAATCTTCGTGATACAAAGGATATTGGAATACATGTAGTTCTTAAATTAATAGTTTTAGACCACAAGTGTCATGATTTGTTGAAATCGTTTCATCGGGAGGAACATAGAAATGCCAAAATATACAGGTTGTCCCATTTAAGATTTTCAATCTGATGTCACGTGACCGAAAACAAAATGCTCATTGGCTAAAAAAATATCAGAAGAAGCTGCACCAATTACTTAAATTCACAACCCCAAAATCACAATTTTCTACTCCTCTCGAGTTCCAAGATAATCCCTTCCATGTCTGAATCGTCGTGGGACACCCTGTATCTATATTTACGAAAATTCATTCAAATTCGAAACATATGTGTAGAATTGGGATAAAAACCACTTTTTGAAATTCAAACAAATAAGCCTATTTTCAGCGATTAGTTTGACATGTAGCGAAAGTCAACGTGACCCCGACCGAGTAGAACATTTTTCATATTTTTCAAAGCAAAACTCAAGGCCCAACTCGAATTTCGAAATAAATTATCAATAAAAGTTTTTCCCATATATATGATGCCGACTTTATGAATGACACTGTATATAAGGAATCCTAGGAATAGTATGTATACTAAGAATAGTATTGGCCCTTATACAGTTCCCTGTGGTACCCCGTTTGTGATTTCCAATGGTTCTCTCAATATTATGTCCATAATGAACAACGAAAGCCATATGGGGGGGGGGCCTAGGCAAAAACATCCCCCCTGTTTTTCTTTCAATGAATAAATCTCCATATTGATTTATACATTTATATGAACCACCGTGAATACAAACCGAGGAAGTTGAATAGCAGTTGCCTTCCAGTTTTCTTACCCACAATGAAAGTTTAAGGTGAGGTGGGATAATTG